GCATTGCAGATAAACTGCGTATACTGGGCAACCCCTCCCTTTTCTATCCATATGCACCCCCCCCCACACACACACACACACACCAACACACACACACACCCTCCCTCTCTCTATATGACATCATCACATCACATCCTCCAACCTGACGATGCCCGTGAGGGAGATGTGACTCAGCCTACAGACTAATGTCTTTGCCCCCCTATGTGAGATCTGGCAACCCTAAAATAAAGCCACAACCTAACATCTACTCCTCTGCCTTGGTATTTGCTTTAAAATATAATTTGTGCTACTCATCCATTGCAGGCATGGGGTCAGGGAGTGCGCTCAGTAGCTGTGAGTAAAGCTGCAACTAGTCATTCAAGCTCCTGGGGGTGAGCTAAATGAACACACAGTTTCTCCTGTCATCATTTTAGTCCAATAAAAATCCCTCTCCTGGGAAGTTTGAGCAAGCATTCAGATCTAACAAATATGTTTGGCTTTGTGACACCCAAGTGCTAGAGAGAGCGAGTGAGTGAGTGAGAGAGAGAAAATTGAGCTGATGTTCCAGGATGGGGTGATAATAATGGCTGTCAGAATCTTGCCACCTTTGTCTGCTCTGTTTAAAGGCATAGTTCACCTATAAATGAAAACTCTTTATTTATTTGCTCACCCTCATGTTGTTTGAAACCTGTATGCTACTTTTATTGTTTATATTCATGGAAGAACCCTGAAAAAATGCACTGGTTCCACAAAAATGAACCACAAAAATGGAACACAAAAGGAGAATCTTGAAGGATCTCTAAACCATACAATGACACTGACCGCACTCAACAAATGAAAAAAAAGTACTATAAAAGTATCCTGGCCTTGGTCTTCTGAAGTGGAATTTAGCTTTATACTACAAGTCTTCTTAAGCTATATGATAGTTTTATGTAAGGAGCAGACTGAAATGTAACTCCTTATTTTTGTCATTATTTGGATGTCTTCTTTATCTCACATTGGAGTTTCTGCTATTTAGCTGATGAGTTAAAGGGATAGTTCACCAAAAAATGAAAATTCTGTCATTAACTACTCACCCTCATCCAAAGCCGTAAGAACTTTGTTCATCTTTGGAACACAAATTAGGATATTTTTGATGAAATCTGAGAGCTTTCTGACCCTTCATAGACAGCAACGCAACTACCACTTCATTTGGACAACTTTAAAGGTGATTTTCTCAATATTTTGATTTTTTTGCACCCTCAGATTACAGATTTTCAAATAGTTGTATCTCAGCCAAATATTGCCCTATCCTAACAAACCATACATCAATGGAAAGCTTATTTATTCAGCTTTCAGATGAATAAATAAGAGAGATTGAGATTTATAAATCTCAATTGACCCTTATGACTGGTTTTGTGGTCCAGGGTCACATATGTGACATCAGTGATTCAACCCTAATGTTATGAAGCAAAGAGAATACATTTGTGTGCAAAGAAAACAAAAATAATAACTTTATTCAACAATTCTTATCTTCTGTATCATTCTCTGCATGCGTTGTGGTAATCTTGTGAATGGTGGCAGAGACTGATCTGGAAGAGAAGAATTGTTGAATAAAGTCATTACTTTTGTTTTCTTTGTGCACAAGAAGTATTGTCGAAGCTTCGTGAACTTAAAGGGTTAGTTCACCCAAAAATGAAAATTAGCCCATAAATTACTCACCCTCAAGGCATTCTATGTGTATATGACTTTCTTCTTTCAGACGAATCCAGTCGGAGTTATATTAAAAATTGTCTTTGATCTTTCAAGCTGTTTAATGGCAGTCAGCGGGTGTTGCAGTGCTTCAGTCCAAAATAAGTGAAATAAAAAGCGCCCATCTATATATATATGTACACAAATGGTTATCTTTATATAAATGGTTGTCTTTAGCAACAGATTTATTGGACTAAACTCTCACAATATTGTGTCTGACGCACTAGGAAACCGTCCACCAGCTGGAGAATGAACTCAAGAGCACGAAATGGGAGATGGCACGGCATCTTCGTGAATATCAAGACCTCCTGAATGTCAAAATGGCACTAGATATAGAGATTGCTGCATACAGGTAAGATTGGGAAATATTTTGCATATGAGTATGGTGTAAATACCTTTTATTTTTAGTTAGTAATATTATAATTTATTATTAAAAATAAGCAAATATTGTTATTATTAGATTTAATATTTTGCGTAATATTTAATATTTTATTATTATATAATATTATATTTCATATTTATTAACAATTATCATTTAACAAATTATTGTTGAAATATTTATTAATGTAAATATGAGAATGAGAAGAAAAATATCCATATTCAAAACGTAATAATCACTTTAATCTAGCTCACAGATAAACTTTAAATCACAGATAAAAAGACACCAGCAGGGGTACACACACTTTCAGTGCCAACACACACACATTAACCCTTTCTCAAACTCTCATGAATAAAATATGTCAGGCAGAAAGACACATTGAGAGGGCACGGAATGGAAAATGTTCAGCTGATGTTAGGTGGGACCTTGAATGAGTCATGAATTACGCAGATCAATGTATTTCCAAATGCTTTCAGATATAAAGCACTTCTCACATTGTCTACAGATTACTGCTGAGTCATCCGGTCTCGTCAGGGGAAAGGAACCGAGCAAAAGAATCCCTTCAGGGCTGATTTAACAACAGTATCCTCAAGAGATTTAAATCAGCATCCACTCTATTTCATGCACCGCTACTCTGCATGTGCACCAGAGCTTATCTTGCAACCCAAACATATTCACACGACAAGGTCCCATTTGAGCCCTTACGTTAACATTTCTGTTCACCTCACTCCTCTAATGCACCGCATACCTCCCTCAAGCATTGTTTATTAATAAATCACAGGCTTCTCTCCCTGTGTACGTGCCTCATCGCTGTCATACTGATTCGGAGTTCACTGCCCGTAATGTAGTCACATTATAGCTGGATCTCCAATAATGCATCACAGTAGGCTGGTACTGTAAGGGCGTGCTCTGCAGCATTACTGGTGGCCTGCATTGAATTTTAAACCGCACTGCTCTGCATGGCCACAAAAGCACCTTGAGCGACAGGCGCCCGGCTCCTCAGGGATGATTTGCACATTTTGAAGGGATGGTCTTTACTTGGGGCTGGACGGTAGAAATATAAGGTCACTGAGTTCAGGAGCTCTTCTGCTGCTGCTCTGAATGATTGCATGCAGGCTAAATCTGGCTTCACATTAATGCCCAGACACCAACCCAATGACAAAGCAAATAGAAAAAGGCCTATAATTAACAAGGACAAATTTATCGTGATTCAATTATGGTTCAATAGGACTAGCTTGGAACATTGCGATGAATCATTTTGAATTTTTGGTGATATGATTAAACTCTGTGCTAAGCAATGGGAAATGCTGGAAATTAGCAGTTGCTAATGCTAGATGTCTGTATAAGGTCAAAATGACTTTCACTGCACAGTTCCAAATGGTTGAATTATCTACAGCAGCTGCAGTTCTGGATCAATCAATTGCCATCTCAACACTTTTACTTATGAGCATCATAAAAATGTATACTCAGATAGAAAACAATAACACTAAAACTTTAAAGTGTTTTTGAAAAGAATTGTGCATTCTTGATATTTTTTTAATATTTTGAGCCTGTTTACAGCAATCCTACTCATTTTGCTCAGGTTTCATTAGAAAAAGGGAGATCATATAAGCAGATTTGTCATATTATGTCCTTTAGGTTATCATATACTGTATATTCAAAGCCTGGCCATGTGAAGCAAATAAAGGTAAGAAGTAGAGTGCTTTCTACGCATAGCAGGTGTTCTTTTAGAGGCAGTCAGCACTATCTGACATGTCCCAGTCCAACATGACATGAATATTTTGTCTATTCTGAAAAGGCAGGATTGCAGTTAATAGAAAAGTGAAGTCATCAACCAGCACAAAAAGCCAAAGTTAGAATTGTTATATTTAGAAAATATTTTTTAAATTAATATAACACTGTAAAAAATATGCTATGAACAAATAAATAACTTAAATAATATATTTAATTTATTATTGCTTTTTCCTGTTTGATTTTGTAGTTCGTTAACTTACTATATTACTTATTAACTTACTCATTTTTAGCACAACTTTCAGGAATAGCATGGCATCTTAACATTTTAAATTGAGATTTATTTAAATAAATAAGTTCTACAGACATCTATGTTTTTACAGTGTAAGGCTCGTTGCTCAAAACGCCTGCTCAGTTATTTCTTGTAAGAAATAAAAAATTAACTTTAAGTATCATTTAATTTCATATATTCAGCAATGACAAATTTTTGAAAAGAAAATAGCGTCATTGCATAGAAGGATTAGCACACTACAGTCCAGCTAAACGCCCTTGAATGTGTCTGATACGGGCCGCTGTCCTTGGTGCTGACTGTAGACTCTCAGTCAGTGATTGGGCTGCGTGCTCAGACTCTGTCAAGAGTACCAATGATGTCACGTCGACTGTAACTGTAGCCCTATAACCATAATGCAAACCAACATATCTATTACCATATTTTGTAAGAAATTGTACTTTTAAGCGTTTCACATCAGCCCATGGCGCGAATAATGGCGCTTTAGGGCTTATCAACAGAAAAGGTTGTTCGTGCCTATTCGTTTTACATAAAAGTGTAGATGTACATTTTTACTGAGTTTTTAAACATTTGATGGCTGATAAAAAAAAAACAAGTAGGCCTACTGATTATGTATCACTTAGATTAAACACCACAAATACATCACACACTTTTAGTTTCCAGTCTAAAAAGTCTTTAAAAGTAACTTTTAGAACAGAAAACGTTTTTGAAAGTTATTTTTATAATATATCGCACACTGGATTAGCCTCCCAAGCACTAGTTAAGTGTGACCAGGAAGCTGAAACACTGGATAAAGATAAGTGTAGCAAGCAGGACCCTCCCACATCGTCGGATCAATGGTCCAGTCAAAACAAACCTGAGCTTTTTCGCAACAGCGCCTCGAGTATATAAAGGCAGGTAGAGCGGCTATCCAGCGCTGAGAGAGCCACACACCCTGCACCTATACACTACTTTACCTCACCCTTCTGTTCATCTGCACGTTCACACCCCGTCCGTCCGGATGAGTTATCCTATAGACACTATAGGAAGCCCTTACCGCAGGGCGATGGACACCAGGACGAGCTACTCGAGCCCCTCCAGCGGGTTTCGCTCCCAGACCTGGTCGCGGGCAAGCCCCAGCTCTTCTTCCTACAAGAGGTCCTTCAACGTCCCGGTGGCGCGAGCTTACGGCTCAACAGTGCTGAGCTCCACCGACAGCCTCGATTACACCCAGACCTCCATCCTCAATGGAGACTACAAGCGCTCCAACGAGAAGGAGCAACTCCAGGGACTCAACGACCGCTTTGCCGGCTACATCGACAAGGTGCACTTTCTGGAGCAGCAGAACAAGCAGATCGAGGCGGAGATCCAGGCACTGCGGCAGAAGCAGGTGTCGCAGTCTCAGCTGGGCGAACTTTATGACCAAGAGCTACAGGAGTTGCGCTCCATGCTGGAGCAGATCCATCACGAGAAGGCGCAGATCCAACTGGACACCGAGCACATCGACGAAGACATCCAGCGCCTCAGGGACCGCTTCGCCGAGGAGGCGCGCATCAGGGAAGAGACGGAGGCGATTGTCCGTGCCCTGATGAAGGACATGGGTGACTCAGCACTCGTCAAAGCCGAGCTGGAGAAGAAAGTGCAGTCCCTGCAGGACGAGATCGCGTTTATCCGCAACAACCACCAAGAGGAGATGAACGATCTGTTGGCGCAGGTGCAAGCGTCGCAGATCACCGTGGAGAAGAGGGACTACCAGAAGGCGGATATCACCGAAGCGCTGCGGGAGATTCGCTCGCAGCTGGAGGGCCACTCGACGCAAAACCTCCAGCAGGTGGAAGACTGGTTCGTGTGCCGCTACGCGAAACTCACGGAGGCCGCCGACCAAAATAAAAGCGCCATCAAATCCGCAAGGGACGAGATCGCAGATTATCGCCGCCAGTTACAGTCCAAAACCATCGAGTTGGAGTCTGTCCGAGGAACCAAAGAGTCTCTGGAGAGGCAGCTGAACGACATAGAGGACCGACACAACAATGACCTTGCCAGCCTTCAGGTACAAAATCGCATGCTCTAAACAATAAGTATAGGCTACCATTTAAACAACAAGGGAGTTTGATATGCAAGACTGATCGTGCATTTTAAAAAGTGCTTTAAAGTTGAAAAACAATAATATGTGTATGGTTTTGTATAGTTTTGATAAAATAATGTTCCTCAATTGCCACTGAAAACTCATTGTTAGACCACTACTCTGAATATTGTGGTGAACAATGGTTGCAGCCTTGCTGCAGTTGTACTGTAGTGAATCATAAATCAATTTGGCTTTTAAAATGTGCTGCTGCTATCATCAATAATGAAATCAAGTCACAGTGAAGTCTGCATGGCTGTGTAATGCTTTTTCTTCAGAGCTCACTAAACCGACTGGTCATCCACAAGAGGATTTGCATATGATGCTTCATTACATCATAGGTGCAGTGGAATGGTGTTAGAAAGGGTTAAGGCGAGGCAGACACCCACAATGCAGTCTCTCCC